AAAGATGAAGAGTAGTGGAATTTAGGGGAAAATGTATTTTTTTGTAAAAAAAATTTAAAAATGTTGTTTTTAATTTAGAATTTATTAAAATAGCATGTTTTATTAATTTATATTTGTTTTTTATAACTATTTAAAAAAAACAAAAAAAAATGATGACATGGAAAATAGAGGGTGTTATAACATATTGTCAATTTTCTCCAATTGATGTAATAACACTATAGTGACATGGAATGTGAGGTGACACTTTTTTGATGCTTTTGAAAGGTCTTATTTGTGCGGTTTGGGCTAGGCAATCATATGTATACGTCTTAATGGGTTCATGGTTATGTTTTGTTGATGTTTGATGTGTTTACGGCTAGGTATGTGTGTACGGCCGTAAACAGGTTTACGGCCGTAAACAGGTTTATGGCCGTAAACTGCAATCATATATATAGGGCTTGTTAGAGTCTGTCAGGGTTGTTGACGAACCGGAGTGACGTGTCTTATAGTTTACGGTCAGAGTGTGTGTAACCAAGGTGTATTTTGACGTTTTTATGATATAAACGTGTGTATGCTTTGCTTAATTCTTCTTCTACTCCATTCTCATTGTGTTTGATCACTGGTTCGGATCCTCAGTTTTAGGGACCTAACAGCTTTAACATGTTATAACATGTTGTCAACACTCATTGCTCTAGAGAGTTTTAAGTGTAAAAAAAAATTGATAGATAGTAAAAAGATTATTATTACTCATGAGGTTATTTACTGTAGCTGAATTAATTATCTTTTTTAAATAGTTTTTAATGTTTTTTTATTGTACTCTAACCGCATTAAGTATAGAAATCAACTAAAAGGAAAATTATTTTGTTTCGTATTTAATTCTCCTATTCATTCTCTTGCTAATTCAATGATTGCTACGTATAACGTAAATTAAGTAATTTAACCATTTTTTAATTTTTTAACATGTATTTGAAGAAAATAACAAAAATAATAGCAAAAATAATCACTTAGTCTAGAAAAAGTTGACCGATTCCAAAACGACATTTCAGATTCTGGACTAAAATTTCGGATTTCGGAAAAAAGAAAAAAAACTCCGGAATTTCAAGAAAAAATTTGAAATCCAAAAAACAATTCCGGAATTTCAAAAAAAATCGTTTTTTAACAAAAAAAAGGTTGGACAAACATAATAATGTGAACTATATACAAAATTAGTACATAAAATTAGACATTTTATTGAAAATCGCAATATTATATATTTCGAAATGTAGCATTCGGAATCTCTAAAAAAATAAAACGATTTCTTTAAAAATTAAAAAAAAAAAAAAAAAAACCTATGGTTATTTTTCAAAAACTGAAAAAATATGGTTATATTCTTTGAAAAACTCATTTATAATTGTTAGATTACTTAATTTCCTATGTGTAAAGTAGGGATGAGCATATAGAGCGGGGAACCGGCACCGGAACCGGAACCCGATGGAACCGGTCGGGCCGGGACCGGGACGTTATTTTTGTGGATTTTTGGAACCGGAACCGATATAACCGGAACCGATATAACCGGAACCGGTAGAAGCGACAAAAACCGAAACCGTATGATGCTATTTTTCGAGGACCGGTTCCAATATTTGAAGACACGACAAGAACCGGTAGGAACCGGGAACCGGTAGAACCGTCGGGCCGGTTCGGTTCTTGATTTTGGCCGAAGCCGGTTCCCGGGTCGGGTCCGGTTCGAGCCGGTTCGGGCTGGTTCGGTCCTTTTGCTCATCCCTAGTGTAAAGCACTGATTCTCTTTTCTCACTTGTGATGATCTTGTGAGTGTGAGGATAAATAAGAACATTTAGTAGGAAGATATTTAACCTCTCATATTAAAAACACCATTATGTGAAATATAAAAGGGTTAGCTCGTTATCCCTTCTTAATTGGATTCTTAGTTATCACAGTTGCTCCATATGGCGCTCGGATGTCATGCACACACATTTTCTTTAATACTAGGCGAATCCCCCGCGCGTTGCGCGATAATAGAATTATATAGTTAAAATAATAACTTTTACCAAATTATTATTTAATATTTCTACTTTGAAACAAAATGTTAGTAGTAAAGCAAACATATAGTTAACATATTAGTTTTATTAAACATTATAGTTTAATTTTTAAGTCATTGTGATATATACAATTATTTGATAATTTTATAACCGTTTAAAATTGTGTAAATTATATATCAAATGAATGATAATATAACGGGTAACAAAATGTATGAAAAAAAATATGAACTGCAACTTTTAGTAACATAAAAATAGAAAAACATCTATTATAACATTTGTATTAAAAAGATATATATACAACGAATAATAAAAAATATGAAAAATAAACACTATAACTTTTAATAACATAAAAACACTAAAACATCTAATATAACATTTATATTAACTCTTCATATTTAAATCACAAATCTCTAATACATTAATGTTTTTAATGAGCAAAACTTTACAACTTTATAAAAGAAAGAAAAATAAAAAGTTATTAGTGATTACTAATTAATAATCATAAGTTAAAAACTCTTGAGTTGTAACTAATAAAATATACATAAATTAGAAATCTCTTGAGTTGTATTGTGAGTTTCAAATGAATGTGGTATTTGGAAATGTATATTTATTTATTTATTTATTTATTTATTATTATTATTATTATTATTATTATTATATTCGTCTAAATAATTGGTTTTGATACATCATTTTAATCTCTTCAATTATTAAACATAAAGATATTTAATTATAAATTTATAACATACATAGGTTCATATACATGTTAAACAAATCACATATATATATATATATATATATATATATATATATATATATATATTTGTAAATGTCATATGTAATTCTTATCGTAGTAATATGGATAAATTACTTTCATATGAATAATATATCATGATAAGTCTATAATAATTATATATCAAATGTTCAAAATTATGTTATCTTTTAAATATTGTCTTTTAAATATGTTGTGTAGGATAACCTAACAAAAAAATAATAGAAAATAAACATAATCAAAATAGAAAAACTACAATCAAATAAATAAAAACATTAGGTGGTTGAATATATAAATAAAGATGTTACATAAACATACATTTAAATCAAAAGAAAAAAACTAACATTCGTCAACTTTTGCTCAAACAAAAAAACCTATATTCATTTTATTAATCTTCTTTCTTCATTTAACATCATTCAACCATTGAAACTTGATGACAATTCTTCACTAACCTGCAATCAAAATATTTTTCTTGAAAAAGAAGAATCAGAAAGATATTCCAAGCAAAACATTGATGTTTGGAGAGTCACATTCAAGATTGAGTAATACACACAAATCGCATATAAAGATTAAATGAGAAACTGAATATAAAGATAGAATAGAAAAGCTTCATTTGTTTTGGTTGAAAGAAAAAATCATATTACAATTACCATCGATGCGACATAACCCATTTCTTCAAATTATCATATTTGGATCGTGAATGTTTCAACTATATGAAAACTTTTGAATCACAATATCTTCAACTCCTTCTTACATGTAAAATTTTATATAACACAAAAGACACAAAAGATTGATCTTTTTATAGTAAACTTTTCACTAAATGCTAATTAAACATAATATAAGTTATAAAACTTTTGAGTGTTAAATCATAATTAAGAAAACTTTTGAGTTGCATTAGTTAAAAAAGGGGGTTTCAAATGAATGTGGTTTGAGTAAGTTAAAAAATGGGGGTTTCAAATGAATGAGATTCAAGAAAAAATGCTAGCTTTATAAGTATGTATGATTATAATCTAAAAAATCAAAAATCTTAATACAAGAAAAGATTTTTGAATGCTACGTTTGAACACAAGAAAAGATTTTTCATACTTTCTCTCATATTTGGCATTAGAAACTAATTATACCATGTGAGTTCCCAAATTAATAGGTAAAACTCAAGTTCATACATTTAAGATGCAAAAAATAACATAAGAGAGCATTTAAAACAAAAAGTGATAGTTGGTTGAGTTACAGCAACAATAACTCTTTATTTATAGAAAGAAGATGAGAGAAATGAAAGGAATATTTATATTAATCTTCCATAGAAATTGTCCTCCCAAATCAGGAGGAATTTGAGAGAAAGAAAATGAAAATCATTCTCTTTCTTTTCTTTTCTTTCCTTTAGTGAAGTGGAAGTTGACCATTAGGAAATGATCACCTCTCATAACCTTCTCCATTTTTTTCCTTTTTTAATTAAATATATTAAAATGTAATCTACTGATTATATAAAATCATAGGTGCAAACAAGCTGAGTCGCATGAGCCTGACCAGACTCAGTCTCGGCTCATTTAAATTTTTTTGGGCTCAAGATCAACTTGTTTAGAGTTATACAGGCTCGCGCTCAGTTCGTCTGTGGTATACCCTAATTTCTAAAATGGTGTTTATTAGATATTTATTTATTTTAATATATAAAAATAAAATTCTAAATTTTATATTATGTATTTGTAAGCTTGTTTAGGCTCGCGAGCCTATTCAGCTTAGTAACACAGACTCGGACTCAAGCTCGTTTAATAAACAAGCATAATCTTAATGATTGGGCTCATTTAAAATCAATTTCAGTTCGAGCTTTTAACGAGTTGATCTCGAGTAGCTCACAAGTAGTTCAACTCTTTTGCACCCCATATATAAAGTTAATAAAAAAGAAAACTATTTCATTAAATAAAAAAAATTATAACACTTGTTTCCTGGTATGGTTCTTCTGAATTTACTTTCATTAATTAAGTTTTAGGATTTCATTTAGGCCACGACGTGGAGATGGAATGACTACGATGTGGCAGCCCGATTCAGGAAAACGCACATTCATGAACCACCACAACGTGGCAAGGTCTTGGCCACGACGTGGCGGCGGCTAGGGTTCAAAACCATAGATTCCAGGATTAGTTGTAACATCCCAAAAATTAAGACTAAAAATTTTGATTTTTAATTTAATAAAACCATTATCCAAAACAACATCATAGAAACCAGGGTGAATCAAAGTGTATCAATAAAAATCCACGTACATCAGAGTAATATAAATGTGGAATGATGTGGTGTGTGCGCTGCAATCATCCCGGGCTCTTCACCTTCGAACCAGAAGTACCTGAAACATAAACTAAAAACTGTAAGTACAAAGATTAGTGAGTTCCCCAAAATACCACATACCATACATATCAAACATATAATGGGCCCCGCCCGGCATAGAGCCCCGCTCGGAACAGGTCTGTCAGTCATCAGGCCCCGCTCGGTATCGGGGCCCCGCCCGGTATACATATAAACACATAACACATTTAAGATTCATGCAGGCAACTACCATCCTAAACATAATAAACCATGGGCTGGCATTGGTGCCTTCGACCCGCTAAACACGGTGAGGAAACTCACCTCTGGCTGCTGAATCTCTCAAATAAAATCTCGGTCTGCTGATCCGAAAAATCCCCCCACTATCATCATCAAATAATATCGAATCAGTAATTAGATCCCGACCCATAATTAATAATCTAGATTACTTATCCAATATCTGAGGTAAAAGACCATTTTACCCTTTTCTTACATGGCCCAAAACCAAGGCCCATCCCAAATGCTCAAAAAGCCCAATTTCCTAAATGGCATCCCAAGGTCCAATATGGCCCAACTTCCTAATTGGGCCCAAAACTATCATGGACCTAATCCCAAGAAAGTACATTTTATATCCATGGCCTAAAGTCAAAAGCTTAATGGCCCAACAAGGCCCAAACCCTAAAAGCCCAAAATATGACCCAAACCCGAGGAAGTCAACCCAAAAGTCAAACAGCTGAGTATGTTAGGTGTACTCAGACTTACGCTTGGCGTACTCCTTCCGGGGCCAGTACGCTCAGCATACGAGCTAAGTACGCCCCGCGTACACGACCAGACAACCAACCTAACTCATTAAGCACTTATTCGATTAAGCTAACATGCCAAACTCTCATATCTGATTCTAGAAGGCGACTTAACACGTAAAGTTGGCAACTTTACACCCATGCATGACTTAATAAGACCCAAAACTCAAAAGGAACCATAACAAAGAACCTAACTCATGCATGGACCAAAATAGCTCACAAAGGTTGCATTTTTATGGACAATGGACCTCATTTGTATTACGATCTAAACCCCATGGCTTCTGGAGTAGACCATAAACTCAACTTTAGCTCAAAAGACCCAAAAATGCATAAATAACACCCTAAGTTGGATCTAGCATAAAGAATCATCAAGATGAGAGCTTTTTACCTCAAATGGCCTGTTAAGATGAAGATGACTCTGGATCCACAAGCTCAAGTCACTCCCAAGCAACCTCCAAGTGTTCTTCTTCTTCTACTTCACCAAAAACACCACTAAAACTCACTTTCAAGCTCAAAACTCGCAAATGACACTTAGGGTTTCGTTTCTAGGGTAGAGAGTGATGGAGGTTGATCAATAGAATGTCCAAAGATGATATAAGTTGCTTAAATAGGGTGCAAACCCTAAAAATTAGGGTTTGCCCCTGCCTTGCATATGTCGTGCGTACTCCATGTACGCCCCGCGTACGTGGGTGAATCCCACGTCCAAAAATGAGCTAGTACGCTAAGCGTACTCATAGAGTACGCCCCGCATACTAGCTAGGGACAAAAAAAAAACTTTCTCTGAATCCATACCATTATATAAATAAAATGGGGTTTTACAAAAAAAAAAATGGGGTTTTACAACCATAGTATAAATAAAATGGGGTTTTACAAAAAAAATAATAAAATAATAAAAAAAATAAAAAAATTCAAATAATCTATAACAAAGTTTACAGCTTTCGGTTATACAAACTAATACCAACAACCACAGTTAAGAGAAAAGGATTTCACAACCTTCTCTGAATCCATCATGATCATTTCTTCTAACGTTGTATTCTGACTTCAACATCCATAACCGCATACACAGTACAAAAACACGTAAGTCCGAAGACTTGTGAGCTGCATGGATTTTACCCAATAAAATAATCTAGTACTCATTAAAAAACTCTTATAAACATCTAGTAAGTCATATATGTTCTCTTAGAGAATTTCACATACAATACTAGCATAAAGCTAGTTTACAATGCAAACCTAACAAATATGGGCAGTCGATACCCTTTGTCCACATAAAGCTAATTGTATAACTTGGCCCTGGAAGAACAAATAATTTTGTCACTTTTAAAATAACTTGCTATGATTTCCCTCATGGAAACCTTATATCATGTTGTCGTGATTCCCCTCATGGGAACCTTATAGCAATGTTGCCTTGATTCCCCTTATGGGAACCTTGTAACAATGTTTCCCCCTATAGGACCGGGTAGTCGTATCACCCCTCATGGGAGACTTACAACTATATTTCCCTCATGGGAAACTTATTCCATCAAATGGATCGTTGGGATCCATGCCCGTCCCGAGGCTGTGACCTATTGCTCGTCACCCGGTCCATTGGAGTAACACATAAAAGGCATTCCATGTCTTTTCGCATATAACTTTCTATAAAGCTTCTAGCATACAATCACATACAATCTCGTACCAACAACTTTTTCATAAAGTTCATAATAACTACAAAGTTTAAATATATTTTTAGTACTCACCCTTAGAGTACAATATATTCTCACTCGCATAGTAGGCCTTTCATGCCATTTTTATACATACAGCTTTTGTATAAACTTCTAATACATATGCATACTTATAGCTTTTCATAAGCTTTTGATACACATACACACTTATAGTTTTTCATAAGCCTTAGATACAGATACACTTATATCTTTCCCCAAATTAATATATGTACACATATATGTTATTTTTCAAACATATCAATTAATCAATTACATTGCTACAAAGCTTAACCAAAGCTCTCGCTGCTCAATCGTGCATCATATTGTGTGTTAAATTCATCAAACTATTAGCAATTCCCTTTTTTAAAATCATTTAAACATTTGACATGCGTATACTTTCTAAAATATATCTTTTTATAATCATAGAGATTAGGGATATACGCTTTAAAACACTTTGACACCAAAACATTATCATAAAACAAAGCATAGTCACACCTAGTAAATTACTTGCACATTTTCACATATTATCAAATATTTTTCTATGTACCAAGAAAATCAACATGTACTCACCTGGCTAATTAGTGAAGACTAACTATTGTCGTAGCCTCAAGCTTAGCACTGCTTTCCAACTTACCACCTTACGAAGACCTATTCAGGTAACATGCCAAGTTCCTTCGAACTTGTATAAATTTACTAGCATGTCTACCTGGATGTTCATTTTTTCAACCATTAACGAAACCTAGTAACTGTTTGTTACCAAACTCACTAAGTCTCATAAAAAACGGTTTAAACCCGTAAATTTTTGGCTTGACTAACTACCGGTCATCACGTAACTTAGAGTTTATAATCCTTGCTAACGGGATTAAGAATCCCACCGTGGAAATCAACTGTCAAACTTACCATTGATTTCACAATAGCACCATATTACGAATCCTATTAACTGGTTCGGGTTTTTAATAACCTTAACATGATTAAATTACATAAACATAATAATAGAATAAGAACTAACTGATCTTGTTCGGTGGATCGCATCCTCGTAATCAGTATTATCTTACGATTTTCTTAGCTACGAATTATCACTCAACATTCAAGATATTAATCGGGAAACTGTATCACCGAGACTTATGATCATATTCGAGACTTAAGAAGAGTCTAGATAAAGCTTGGAGAAGGTTCAAGGTTAATCTAGCGTTAACCCTGAAGGCGAGTACAAGTGGCTTTTTCTCAATTATGAGGTACATGGAAAAATAACTTGTTTTGATTAAAGTTTATATGCAAGTCTAGTTTTGTAAATGCTTGGAATTGTTGAATGATTTATAGTCTTGCTAGTTGTTTTGAGTTTTGTAAACTATATGAGTTTACATTTGAACTAGAATGTTTTTCAATCACCATGCGCGTGTTGTGTGCTCGACTTGCATAAAACAAAAGTAGTGTTCATGCATACACCTACAAAGAATTGATATGGGTAAATAGTTAAAGATGTCATAACGGATCCAACCTAAGGTTGTTAATACCGAGAAATATCATTAATATATATACATTCTAATAAGGAGCATAACAAAGTGACAAAAAGATCACATAAATACAAAATACATATCATAAATATTTCACTCATTACAACAATTACCATGTTCAACCATCACTTACAACATGATACACACAATTTTTCATTTGTTCTTAAGTAACTTTAAAGTTTTTTTTACTTCAAAATATTACAATAACTGATCCAAGTATGAGTCTTTGGAAGTAGAAGATTTACCTTGTCCAAGATACACATTAACCATGTTGGTTCCCCAAGCCATCCATCCTCCTTGATTCTGATCATTTTCAACCACACGCCTCTGTTCCTCAGCAGCTATATTAGCAAGCCGCCAATTGACCATAAAGCCCTTCACAGCCTCCGTTCCTTCCATTACAATCTCCATTGGAGGAACTACAATCGGGTTCTGATCTAAGTTTAATTTGGTCAGATTTTGAAGTTGACCGAATGATTCAGGAAGTGACTTGATTTGGTTGTTACTGAGATCAAGTTCTTTGAGGTTTTTAAGGTTTGTAATTGTGTCAGGTAACTCTGTCAAATTGCTGAAGTTACTACTCAAGTTCAATACCTCAAGATTTGACAGTTTCCCAATTAAAGATGGAAGGCCATGGAGTTTGTTGAAATGGGCATCTAGGTATTTTAAAGATTCTAGTTCACTAATGGTAGTTGGAAGGAAACGGATTTCGTTGAGGCTGATTGACAGGATTTTGAGGTTTATTAGTCCAAAACCGAAGTTTGTTGGCAAGAATATTAGGTTATTGAAGCTTGCATACAATTCTTCCAATGATCTGTTGAGAATTGAGAATTGAGAATTGAGAAATAGTGGGAAATGGAAAAATGGGTTGAAAGTTGAAAGAATTACTTGCAAAAGGCGATGCTTTCTGGAATGGTGTTGAGCTTGTTGCTTGAGATATTTAAGATTTTGAGAGATGTCAACAAGCCGATGGAATCTGGCAATGATTCTAAAAGATTGGATGAAACATCAAGCTCCTCTAGTTTCACTAATCCTGCAATTGAATCCGGAAGCACCTGTTTGACGACAAAAATTGTAAAAACTTTTCAAAATTTTGAAGAATTCAGATGAATCCAGAAAGAAATCAAGAGTAAAAGTTCACGGGAAAGTTAACTTGGACATTTTAACAAACAGGTTGAAGGTATGAACAAGGCTTAATATAATTTAGAAGATACAAAAGCATAACAATCATGATTCTACCAGAACTCAAAAGATTCGTAGATATAAGGAGGAATTGGACATAAAGAATCAAAGGAAGAACTGAAAAAGAAACCTGTAAGTGATTATTGGAGAGATTGAGATGAATTAAACTGGTAAGCTTGCCGAATGCTTCGGGAAGAAACCTTAACTGTTGACTAGACAGGTCAACGCTATTGATGACCTCCTCCGATGCCTGCTTCAGTATCCTGACAACTTCTTTGTTGACTTCATCTGATCCATCGTCGTTATCATTCACAAGATCATCCATTTTTTTAATTTTGATACAATTGTGAACTCAATCAAGCTCTGATCCCTGTCCCTTTTACTTATAGCGGTCTTTGTAGAGAATTCGTCAAACATTTGACTTTGACACTGGCGGGCCTCAGTTCACATGCTTCTTAACAAGTTCGAGATTTCGAAGTTTATCCAAAAAAGAAGGGAAAAAAAAAACTAAAATAAAAAACAGAAATAAGAAAACGAAAAAACATAAACATAAAATCCAAATACAAGAAATAGTAACTAAATGATATTTATTTGATTTTTTTAATCGGCGAATAATTCTAAGGGGAGTGTTTGGCTAAGTTTGTTAAAATTTGTTAGAAAACCATGGACCATTCTATAAATGAACATATATATTATCATTTAAATCCAAAATATTATGGCAAGTGTATAAGATTGTTGATGGACCGATATTCACTTACCATTTGTGGCTTGAGTTCCCGGTTTGACTCAAGATCCTCAAGATCCCTTCCATCTCTCACATTAGGGTTTATCTCCATCTATAAATATATGTGATGAGCAGCAAATCAGGGAGGACAAAATTAATTCACAAATTCGTTTTTCTTGAGTGTAAAGGGTTCTTAGAGTTGTCTTAAGATCAACTGGAAAACCAAGCTTTGTTCTTCGGATCCAAAAGCATCAATGGAAGCAGGTACACAATCTCCTTCACCTATTTTCTTTTATCCAGATTCGAGGTTAAGATCTGGTCTTGAAAGCTTCACTAACAATTGGTATCAGAGCCTTCTCGAATTTGGTACTAGAAATTTTATGTTGGTTTAAGATCTATAACATTATATTTAAACATACCTGTGTTTATAAAAATATTTAAACATACCTGTTTCTTCTTCATTACGTCGTGAATTATATATTTCATCGTATGCTTGATTTTTCTTGACTGTTGATTGAAAGAAGGGTGTGAGATATTATATTTGTACTAGAGATCACACGCTTCGTTAAATATTTTATTATTGTATGTACTCAATGCAGCAACTTTGTTTGACAACCCATTTGCTTTTCTTCTGCTTGCTTTCTGGCGTTGTTTTTCAATTGTCAATAAACAATTTTCTACTATTGATTTTGACAGTGACCATTCAATGCTTGAAACTTGTACTATATTCATTAATATATAATCAGACTTTGGTTCATGTTTTGGTTGAATTTACTATTTAGCGAAATTCATGGTTCATAATATTGTCCTGCGTGCAAAACTAATATTGTTTAGATAATTGGTTAAGATTTGTCAGTGAGATTATTTTTTTGTGTATAATATTCAATCTTATTAAAATGACGGTAACATTTATTCTCTTTTAAGTTATTATACATAGAATATACCTTCATTGATAAATCAACTTTATTTGCTTATTTTATTCTTCGTATCGTTGTAAAAGAAAAATAAATAAATAAAATACTTCTATGATATTAACGTTTTATTTGTTTAAGGCTTTATTGTGTAAATTAAAACTGCATGCTTATTTTAAAGTACTCAATTTGATAGCAGTTTATTATTGTCATGTTTAAGTTAATAAATCTGTATTTTATTTTTTTACCCTGTCAATTTTTTTATGGTTTGTCAATAAATTCAGTTGTGACATTATTTATTTTCTTGGCAAATTTATTAACACAAAGTGATGTTTTTTTTTGTGAAAATTAATTTTCTAAGAATCTAAATATTACGGTTTATGTGTTTATTGTTGCGGATACCAATCGACCCAAAGGTAGGTTGATATTTTGTCGAATAAACACGTATATGATAATGAATATGCGACAATTATTTTTGGTTACATGTCGTTAACAAGTCAATCCAAAGAAGGGCTTGTTAAACGGGATGAATTATTGTCAAATATTATTATTAAATTTTTATGGTTTATGTGTTTGTCAATGCGGATATTAATCGACCCAAAGGTAGGTTAATATTTGGTCGGATAAACACATATATAGTGGTAAATATATGATAATTTTTGGGTTTCATGTGATTAATCAGTCAATCCAAAGAGGGCTTATTGATTAACATGTTTTGTTGTCAATATTTTTACTACTTATACAAGATATCTCTTACAAGTTAATATTGTTGTTCAAAGACTTAATATTAATGTTGTGTTGATACCTTGTGATGTCATAATTTGAATTTTATTGATTATAATTATGGTTTAATGAGCATAAAAACTAATTGATATTTTGTTCTGAAATACAGCAAATGCTAATTGTGGCATAATATCTTCCAACTTGAATCACATTCCGGTTCTCAATGGGACTAACTTTAAGGAATGGAAAGAGAACATTATGTTAGTTCTTGGCTGCATGGATCTTGACCTTGCACTTCGGATTGAGCAACCCATCCTTACTGCCACAAGTTCAGTGGAGAATAAAAGGGATGCTGAAAAATGGGATCGCTCAAATCGCATGAGTCTAATGATCATTAAGCGCGACGTTCCAGAAGCTTTTAGAGGTGCGAATGAGCGGTCCATTAATGCTAAAGATTTTCTTGCTGAAATTGAACAACGTTTTGCAAAAAATGATAAGGCTGAAACAAGTACTTTTTTGCAAAAGATGATTTCAATGAAGTATAAAGGCAAAGGAAACATAAGGGAGCACATCATGGAAATGTCTCATCTTGCTTCAAAACTTAAGGCATTGAAACTAGAAATTTCTGATGATTTTCTAGTTCATTTGGTGTTGCTTTCTCTTCCTGCACAATTTAACCAGTTCAAGGTCAGTTACAACTGCCAAAGGGACAAATGGACTCTTAATGAGCTCATTTCCTTTTGTGTGCAAGAAGAAGAAAGGATGAAGCAAGAAACAACTGAGAGTGCTCATTTTGCTAGTACCTCTAAAGGTAAGGGAAAAAGAAAGAGAAAAGAAGCTGCTACTAAGGGACCAGTGCAAAAGAAACAACATTTAGGTAATGATCAAAAGAAAAAGGAATCGGGACCCCTCCTAAATGCTTCTTTTGTCAAGAACCTGGTCATTTGAAGCCGGATTGTCCAAAATACCACGCTTGGCGAGTTAAGAAAGGTATAATTCGTGCTTTGGTCTGTTCTAAAATTAATTTAGTTTATGTACCTAGAAATACTTGGTGGATAGACTCTGGTGCTACTACTCACGTGAGTATTTCTATGTAGGGTTGCCTGAACTACCGAAAACCAAATGATGCTGAAAGATACATCTATGTCGGTGATGGCAAGCAGGTTGAAGTGAAAGCAGTTGGCACATTTCGTTTATTACTAGATACTGGTTTTTATTTGGATTTTCAAGACACTTGCATTGTACCGTCTTTTAGACGCAATTTGGTTTCTGTTTCTAAATTGGATAAATCTGGTTATTATAGTTCTTTTGGAAATGGTGAATTTAGTTTGTCTTTAAATTCAAATGTTATCGGTACTGGTTCTCTAACTTATTGTGATAAGTTATATATGCTTGATATTGTTACTTCATATAATGAAACCTTGCACGTGGATTCACGTGGTACTAAGCGAAAATTAAATAATGAAAATTTAGCAACACTATGGCACAAACGCTTAGGCCATATCTCAAAAATGAGAATTGATAGGCTTGTGTCAGATGGAGTGTTAAGTAACCTCAACTTCACATATTTAAAAATTTGTGTTGAATGCATCAAAGGAAAACAGACAAAAACCAAAAGATTAGATGCCACCAGGTCTTCAGATGTCTTAGAATTGATACATACAAATATTTGTGGACCATTCCCTTCGGCTTCTTGGAATGGTCAACAATATTTTATATCATTCATAGACGATTACTCACGTTATGGGTATCTATATCTTATTCATGAAAAATCTCAGTCACTGGAAGTGTTTAAATCTTTTAAACTTGAAGTTGAGAACCAACTTAATAAAAAAGATTAAATGTGTTAGATCTGACCGTGGTGGTGAGTACTATGGTAGATATGACGGATCAGGTGAACAGCATCCAAGACCTTTTGCTAAATTCCTAGAGGAATGTGGAATCGTCCCACAATACACAGTGCCAGGTTCGCCTAGCATGAATGGTGTATCTGAAAGACGCAACAGAACTCTTAAGGATATGGTAAGGAGTATGATAAGTCATTCTACTTTACCAGAGTCACTCTGGGGTGAAGCACTTAAGACTGCAGCTTACATTCTTAATAGAGTACCAACTAAAGCAGCTGTTAAAAGACCTTATGAGCTTTGGACAGGGAAAAAGCCTTGTTTAACTCATCTTCGTATTTAGGGATGTCCAGCTGAGGCAAGGCCTTATAGGCCGAATGAAAAGAAATTGGACTCCAAAACCGTTAGCAGCTACTTCATTGGCTATTCTGAACGATCCAGGGGTTATAAGTTTTATGATCCTGCAACAAAATCAATTTTTGAAACAGGAACTGCAACGTTTTTTGAGGATGTTGAGTTTGGGAGGAGAAATAAGGTTAGAGACATTGTCTTTGAGGAGGAATCAATCTCGATTCCTACTGTTACTTTTGACGATACACAAATTAATATGCCTGTCGGAGAAGAAGTAATTCAGGAACCTCAACAATACAATGTTATTCACTCTCCTGTTCATAATGAACAACCTCAACAACCTCAACTTAGGAGATCCACTAGAGAAAGGAGAAGTGCAATCCCTTCGGATTTCCATGTATATCTCCAAGAAAATGAAGAACCAGATGGAATGATTGAAAATGATCCAATCAACTTCTCTCAGGCCATGCAAAGTTCAAATTCTCAAAAGTGGATTGATGCCATGAACAAGGAGTATAAGTCCATGCAAGACAATAAAGTTTGGGAACTTGTTCCATTACCTGAAGGTACAAAACCTATTGGTTGCAAATGGATTTTTAAGACCAAAAGGGATTCAAAAGGTAATGTGGAAAGACATAAGGCACGTCTTGTAGCTAAGGGCTATACTCAAAAGGAAGGAATTGATTTTAAAGAGACATTCTCTCCGGTTTCATCAAAAGATTCTTTTAGGTTGATCATGGCACTAGTCGCACATTACAATCTTGAGTTACATCAGATGGATGTTAAGCACTTAAGACTGCAGCTTACATTCTTAATAGAGTACCAACTAAAGCAGCTGTTAAAAGACCTTATGAGCTTTGGACAGGGAAAAAGCCTTGTTTAACTCATCTTCGTATTTGGGGATGTCCAGCTGAGGCAAGGCCTTATAGGCCGAATGAAAAGAAATTGGACTCCAAAACCGTTAGCAGCTACTTCATTGGCTATTCTGAACGATCCAGGGGTTATAAGTTTTATGATCCTGCAACAAAATCAATTTTTGAAACAGGAACTGCAACGTTTTTTGAGGATGTTGAGTTTGGGAGGAAAAATAAGGTTAGAGACATTGTCTTTGAGAAGGAATCAATCTCGATTCCTACTGTTACTTTTGACGATACACAAATTAATATGCCTGTCGGAGAAGAAGTAATTCAGGAACCTCAACAATACAATGTTATTCACTCTCATGTTCATAATGAACAACCTCAACAACCTCAACTTAGGAGATCCACTAGAGAAAGGAGAAGTGCAATCCCTTCGGATTTCCATGTATATCTCCAAGAAAATGAAGAACCAGATGGAATGATTGAAAATGATCCAATAAACTTCTCTCAGACCATGCAAAGTTCAAATTCTCAAAAGTGGATTGATGCCATGAACGAGGAGTATAAGTCCATGCAAGACAATAAAGTTTGGGAACTTGTTCCATTACCTTAAGGTACAAAACCTATTGGTTGCAAATGGATTTTTAAGACCAAAAGGGATTCAAAAGGTAATGTGGAAAGACATAAGGCACGTCTTGTAGCTAAGGGCTATACTCAAAAGGAAGGAATTGATTTTAAAGAGACATTCTCTTCGGTTTCATCAAAAGATTCTTTTAGGTTGATCATGGCACTAGTCGCACATTACAATCTTGAGTTACATTAGATGGATGTTAAGACAACATTTCTCAATGGTGACATTGATGAAACTATATATATGGTGCAACCAGAAAACTTCGTATCGAAAGACTCAAAGGAAATGGTTTGCAAACTAAATAAATCTATCTATGGACTCAAGCAAGCCTCCCGTCAGTGGTACCACAAGTTTCATCAAATCGTTGTCTCATTTGGTTTTGAGGCAAATATAGTAGATGATTGTGTATATCACAAGTTCAGTGGGAGTAAATACATCTTTCTGGTCTTGTATGTTGATGATATATTACTTGCCACCAATGATTTAGGGGTCTTATATGAGACCAAGAAATTTCTTTCAAAGCATTTTGAGATGAAAGATCTTGGGGATGCCTCATTTGTATTAGGAATCCAAATTCAACGAGACAGATCTCGTGGAATTCTAGGATTATCACAAAAGAACTATATTGAAAAGATCCTTGAAAGATTTGGCATGCAAAACTGCAAACCAGGAGACACCCCTATTTCGAAAGGAGACAAATTCAGTCTCGATCAATGCCCTAAAAATGACCTTGAATTTAAAGAGATGCAGAAGATTCCTTATGCATCGGTTGTCGGGAGTCTTTATGTATGCTCAAGTGTGTACACGTCCCGGCATATCTTTCATTGTAGGGATGTTGGAAAGATATCTAAGCAACCCAGGTATGGACCATTGGAAAGCAGCCAAACGGGTTTTGAGATATCTACAGAGAACAAAAAACTACATGCTCACATATAGGAAATCAGATGTTTTGGAGATCATTGGGTATTCTGATTCTGATTTTGCTGGATGCCAAGACAGTTATCGATCCACATCAGGCTACATTTACCTATTAGCAGGAGGAGCTATTTCATGGAAGAGTGCTAAACAAACTTTAGTAACTTCTTCCACCATGGCGGCAGAATTTGTAGCATGTTTCGAGGCATCGGATTATGCAATATGGCTGCGGAACTTAGTCACGGGTGTCACACCCCGATCCTTGTCGGAATCGATCGAGGCGTGATATATTGTTCAAAAGTCTCATGACAACTATGTTATAATATGATTAGATTCAATTAAGTACTAAGTATGCAAACAAGATCCACAACATACAAATACAAATCCAAATACGAACAACATTTATTACATCAAATTTAAATAGTCTTGTGGATTTCTAAGGCACAACCTATTTTTCATCAACTTCATTCTTCAAATCTGCATCATGGGTAAAAACAGGTCAACTACGAGAGTTGGTGAGTAATCTAATTTTAGTAGAGAAAATTGTGAAGTTGAAACCTTTATAATTGGAAATTTGTTTTCTTTTGAAGTCGGCAAACAATTGTATTTGAGATAACGGTTTATAAATCAAAAATTGATTAACAAATGATAACAACAACAATAAGTCCTCACCCTATATATATATATAATATATATATATATATAGGATGGAGCATCTAATCATCATACACACTCAACCACGTGCGATCAATCACCTTAGCGTCCCAAGGCGGGGTGGTCAACCCAATAGCGCTATTATTGTCCATAACGTACCTCAAGAATACGGGCATAGTCATGGAGATTAGACTAAAAATGATAATGCACTACAAGTACATGTAGCGTAAACAAACAATAGTTATACAATTAATGACTCACGTATAAATGTCCCAACAATGTCTCAATTGTGATAAAACAATAAAATGAAGTTGGAACATATTAGAACCACATGATACACCCCAAAAGTATTGAAAATTATAAAGTATGGGGTAGATTACTCACATTAGTCCCAAAACGAAATGCGTGTGCCGTACGATAGACAGTTCGGGTCAAAATGACGTAGAACCTAATATAATTAATAGTTTTGGTTTAGGAACTGCTAAACGAGAATAGAGTACTAATACAAATAATTAGACACATATTCTTATATTAGATGAATTAACAATAATTCATTTTGATTATAATATTAAGGTATTTATTTGTTAAATGAATTTTAAATTGAATTAATTACTTTGCATAATTAATTTATATTTTCAATTTAGGCCAGATTTTAATAATTTCTTATTAAAATAATAACTTGCCCAATTATAATTATTTACAGATTTTAACAATTATTTATATGAAATAATCATTAAAATGCATTTTTACATGCTTAAATACTTAGGAAAATGGTTTTAAATAGTACACAGTATTGAAAAATTATGAAATTATTAGAAAATCATTATTTCATACAATATTAATTACTGTAAAATTTTTATATTTTTCTGAA